AAAAAGTTTCCCCTGTAACCTCCATGAGGTCAGGGAGCATGTCCTGCACATCATCCCTGTGTCCTGCTGTGTATCAGCACTGCATGGGATAAATGTTCATTAAAAGTAAGTTAAATATAGGCCGGGGGCAGTGGCTCACATCTGCAATTCCAGCACTCTCAGAGGATGAGGAGGAAAGATCCCTTGAGCTCAGGAGCTGGAGACCAGCCTGACAACAGCAAGACCCTGTCTCTACTAAAACCAGAAAAACTAGCAGGGAGTTGTGGCAGGTGCCTGTAGTCTCAGCTACTTGGGAGGCGGAGGCAAGAGGATGGCTTGAGCCCAAAAGTTGGAGGTTGCTGTGAACTATGATGCCACAGCACTCTAACCAGGGTGAGTGCTCTGCACTCTAGAAGCTCTGTCTCAAGGGGGGAAAAAAAAAGAAATTATCTCATATATTTAACTTTTTTTTTTTGAGACAGAGTGTCAATCTGTTGCCCTGGGTAGAGTGCTGTGGCATCATCCTAGCTCACGGCAACCTCAAACTCCTGGGCTTGAGCAATCCTCTTACCTCAGCCTCCTGAGTAGCTGGGACTACAGGCACCTGCCACAATGGCTGGCTAGTTTTTCTAGTTTTAGTAGAAATAGGGTCTTGCTGCTGTTCAGACTGGTCTTGCACTCCAGAGCTCAAGCAATCCACCCACAGTGTGCTTGGCCTCCCACAGTGCTAGGATTACAGGGGTGAGCCACCACAATTAGCCTGATAATTCTTAATACTAAAGTTAGGGGCTCTCCCAAGGAAAAGTTCTGTAGGGAAACAGAGGCACCACCTAATGCTATTACTAAGCTCATCTCTCTGTCCTGTGTCCTGTGGCATCAGTCTGGCACCATCAGTGCAGAGGCTGAGATGCCTACCTATTTATTTGTTAAGATCTGTTTGGTCCCTGGGCCCTAGTAAATGCCTAATGGGCATTTACCCAGTGACTCGCGGGGAAATGTGAATTTGAGGCAGAAGTGAAATGCCTCCAGTGGTGGCATTTTCCTTAGGCACTCCATCTCTCCCAGGTTGGCTCCCCTGCACCCTAGAAGCCCTGACTGATGCCTTGGGAATATCTCACTTTCTCAAAGTCAGGGCTCATCTTTAACTTGTGATTCAGTGAAGACAGCCACTCCAAGATGAGAATTGTTCCCGGGGGAACTTCTGGCTGCAGCTGAAATTGCCCATCTCTCATTGCTCCCAACAGGGCCCACATGATGTAAGTTTCAAACTGTCCCAACAGGACAATGCTCAGCGTGGCTAATAAAGGATTTTAACCACTTGGGAAAAAAGACAAGGTTATTTAAAACCAAATGGTGTCATTTACGAGTGATGGCCTTTTAATGAGTTCCCAAGGAACCCACAAAAAGGCCCAGAGAATATGACAAGAAAGTCCCCAAAAGTCTGAATCTGTAAGCAAGAACCCCTAACCTATTCGCAGTGGAGATACTCCACCAGTTTTCAACGTTAGGGCCCTGCTTTTATTCTTTTTCCTGCTGTGATCCAAGGATATGAGAATTTTGAGCATACGGAAAAAAAAAAGAAAAGCTTAGATCATACTCTTAACTGATTCTCAAAAAGCTTTACTGGATGCTATCCAAAAAATGATGAAGTTCGGCATTTAGGGACTTACAGGACCTGGCCTCAATTCTCCTTTTCAATTACCCGCTCCCTGCTGTCACCCATCCTGGGATCTAGCTGTACTGGCCAACTCTCCCTACTTTTGTACTTTTACTCATCTTGTCCCTCTGTATGAAAAGTCTTTTCTACTCATATATTGGTGATGCAACCCTCCATTCTGTTTACAGAACTCAAATTCCTTCCCTCGTGAGAATATTCAGCAACTACCTACTGCACGCGCTGATGGCATTTTGCTCGTCCTTCTTCCATCAGGCCTGGGACCATAGGTGGCTCTGCCCATGTCTACCTCTCCACAAGATCCTCAACGGCTGGAGGAATGAACCTGGCTGCATAAGGTTGTATCTCCTAGTGCCCAGCCACAGCCTTTGATACAGGGGCCCCTCTGTGGAGTGGCTGGCCCTTTTAATTCAAGTTTTATTAATTTGAAACATGCTTACATTCACCCTCCAAAGATAGATCAGGGTGAAAAGTCCCCCTCCCTTTGCTCCCTTCTGTGCAGAGAACCAGTATTATCATCAGCTGTTTGTGACTCCTTCCAGAGATATGCAAATAGGTACAGTATACTCTTTTCCCTCCTTATAAAAATAAATGGGATCATGCTTCAACAGCTTTGCAGTTTGCTTTTTCACTTTACTAGATGTGCACTCACATATTTTGAAAACAAATTTAGCTTATTATTGATAACATTGGGTTGCCTTCATTCTTGTTATTAAAAATAATATTGCAGCGAATCATCTTATATTCGTCATGTTCACAGGGGTAGTTATATAGGGAGACTTTCTAGAGGTAGCACTGCTAGGTCAATTCGTGTGGGCACTTTTAATCTTGATCACCATTGTCCAGTTTTTCTCCTTAAATAATGTTTAGTTTTACACCCATGAGCAATACGCAGGCACCTCTCCCCCCCCCCCGCCTTTCCTAACACAATGTGTTATCAGTGTTTTCGACAAGTTCCAGGAAAAAGTCAAAGTTAGACTTCATTTAAAGTTTGTGTGTGTTCAGCAAACTCATGACCATCCCTTACGTTGAAAATCATCAAAGATATCCCAGGGTGTTGACAATTTAAGGATTTTTTTTTTTTTTTAAAAGAGTTCGTCACTTGCTCTGTTACCCAGGCTGGAGTGCAGGGTGAGCAAACCAGTAGCTCACTGCAGCCTCCAACTCCTGGGCTCAAGCAATCCTTCCATCCCAACCTTCTGAGTACCTGGGACTATGGGTACAAGCTACTGCATTCAGCTAATTCTAAAATTTTTTTGTAGCGGCGGGGTCTGCTATGTTGCCTAGGCTGGTCTTCAACTTCTGGTCTCAAGTGATCCTCTCACCTTGGCCTCCCAAAGTGCTGAGACTACAGACAGGAGCCACCTTGCCTGGCCAACCTAGGGATTCTAACCCCATGCTCAGAGAAAGTAATTATTTGACCCCAAGCATATTTAGGGGTGGAGCGGAAAAATGTCACGGATCATGAGCTGCTTTAATAATGCTATTTTAGTTTTGCGCAGCAGTCTACAGTTTTTAGACAAATTTTACATACATTGATTTGGGCCAAAAGGTATATTCCTCTATTTTCAAGAATTTAAAGCATAACCAGGAGGAGATAGGTTATTGGACACATACTGTGCAGGCTGATGATTAGGATAAGGCTATGAGTTATCTCTGATTATTATTTTTTATCTTTAAAGAGATTTTAATTTTGTTTTTAAATTGTTTTTTATTAAATCATAACTTTTGTACATTTATGGGATTCAGGGTACTTGCTTCGATATACAATGTGAAATGCTTACATTGAACTAAGTAACACATCCATCACAATTGTCCTCATTTTTCAATAGTTTTGAGATGTACCATTGCATCATGCACATTAGGTGAAGTCCCCCCCAAATATCCTCCCACCTCCTCCTCCCCTCTCTCTCCTCTTCACTTCTACTTTCTGGACTATAGTTATGTTTTGCCATTCATATGAGTGTATGGGTGATTATATATTGATTTCACAGTAGTATTGAGTACATTGGATACTTTTTTCCCCATTCTTGAGATACTTTACTAAGAACAATATGTTCCAGCTCCATCCAGGTAAACATAAAAGATGTGAAGTCTCCATCTTTTTTATGGCTGCATAGTATTCCATGGTGTACATGTGCCACAATTTGTTAATCCATTCATGGGTCGATGGGCACCTGGGCTGTTTCCAAGTCTTAGCTATTATGAATAGGGCTGCAATAAACATTCTGGTGCAAATGCCTTTGTGATTATTTTAGTAAGGAGAAGCACCACAGAGATCAGAGAACAGCCTCTGACACCTAACATTTTTAGCTACCTAACCCCAAGTAAGTTACTGATTTCAGCCTTAGTTTCCCTGTGTGTAATATGCAGTACAGCGGTGTTGTGAGGATAAAATGAGACTCCTGAAAATTCTGTCCCAGTACCTGGTACATAGTAGGCAGGCACTCAATAAATGCAGCTGTAATTATTACTTAATAAACAATATATTCTGTGCGGCAACAGTAGGTTAAGGGGCTACTTTGATGCTATTAATATAATCTGGCCTCTTGGAGTACAGGTAAGAACTCTGGAGTCGGGCAAAATTCCTCTCCAGCGCTCATTAGTACCAAGCACATCCTGCTTTAACCTCTCTGGCTTGTTTTCTCAAATGTAAAGTGGCAGGAATAAAAGCCAACTCTTAAGGTTTCCTGAAGCTTAAATGTGTAATATTCATAAGTGGTGGGTTTTTTTTTTTTTTTTTTTAGACGGAGTCTTACTCTGTCCTCCTGGGTAGAGTGCCGTAGAACCGTAGTTACAGCAACTCAAACTCTTGGGCTCAAGAGATCCCTTGCCTCAGTCTCCCCAGCAGCTGGGACCATAGGCGCCGCCGACAACGCGGGGCCAGTTTTTCCATTTTTAGTGGAGACGGGGGTCTCGCTCTTGCTCAGGCTGGCCTCCAACGCCTGAGCTCAAGCAGTCCTCCCACTCGGGCCTCCCAGAGTGCAGGGATTACAGGCGTGAGCCACCGCGCCCGGCCACTTTCAATACATAATTCTTTTCTTTCTTCCCAGTATAACGGCGAGGACTTCCACGCATCAAACAACCCAGTTACCCCAAGAAACCAGAGGGACCGACGCGTGTTGAAACTGGAAACAAACAGTCACCGTGTGGCAGGAAACCGCTGAACGGCCCCAAACTCCCGGATACTCAGCTCCAGAGATGAGTCCCGGAAAAGCCTAAGCACGTCGCGGGGACCCCCGGGCAACCCCGCCTTCCGGTTTGTTTCCCCACCTCCACTTCCGGTCGTGGCGTTGCGCGTCATCTCTCGGCGACCGGGTGGGCGTTTCCGGGCCAGGCCGTTTCGGGCGGAGGGAGGCGGGGGTCACGCGGATCCTGGCCTGGGCTTCCCCGATCCCGGCCTAGGCGTCCCCGATCCCGGCCTGGGCGTCCCCATCCGCACCCGGGACTCGACGCCGCCGCCATGGAGAGCGGAGGACGGCCATCTCTGGGCCAATTCATCCTCCTGGGCACCAGCTCCGTCGTCACCGCCTTCCTGTACTCCGTGTACCGGCAAAAGGCCCAGGTTGCCCAAGAGCTCAAGGTCAGTATTGGAGCGGTCCTGGCCTTAACCAGGTCATCTCTGCCCAGGTCGGGGGAACCCGCGATTCAGAGGCTACCGCTCTGTCTAAAACTGTCGAGGAAACAATCTCTGAGACGTTGTCACCTAGCCAGTAAACAAATGGAGGAGTTAGGATCAGAATTCTGGCGTCCTGACCTGATAACGGCTGCTCTGCTCCCTTTCCCCAAGATCATGTCATTACTCACGGTGAATCATAACTTAATTACTTTTTTCGGAAAAACATTTATTGATCACTTGTGCAGACAGTGAGTGGAACAGACAAAAAGTCCCTACTCTTTTGGAGAATCCAGTCTGCCCGAAATTTCACAACACAACAGCTAAGGGCCGAGTTTTACATTTCTAGGTCTAAGATAGGTCCCTAAACCTGACTGACTTCTTTATCACGTTGTTTGTAGTAAAGGTTTAGAAGCCATTGTGTGAAATCTCTGCTGGGAAGGGAGTTTTGGAATCTGGAAAGAACCAGGCTATGAGGCGATTGGTTTTGCTGTGCGGTGGCATTCCGGTGAGAGTCCCGCTGCACTGCTGTACCTAATTATGTAATTTAGTTACTCCTGAAAGGTTCGGCTCTAAGTGTAACTGACCCTGTCTACTTTCTGACCACAAAACCAGTTTGGGTTCAAGTTGGCTGCATGTGGTATATTTTAAGCAGTGAATTCTTGAAGTCTCATCTTTGGGTGACTTAAATTTTAAAGCTTTTAAAGTTTAAAAGCTTTGCCCATTAGTTCCATAAAATGAGGATGAAGTAGCTCCTTCCTGGAAAAAGAGTTGCAATTTCTGATATTTTAGATTCTGTTTTCTTGATCAGATGGCAAAACATCCAGAGCAGTGATGGGTATGCACATTTATTGAATGCCTCTTGTGTGCTAGCCCTGCACTAGATTCTTTCCCATCTTAAAATTCTTTTGATCCAGGTAAAAATCCTGTGAGACTGTATTTTCCCCATCCTTTAGAGTTTTGAAAACAGAGACTCAGATAAAGTTGCTCAAAGTCACAATGGGTGCATTGAAGCTTGGTTCAACTCCAAGTATTTCTGATCACATTCTCTTTCCTCCCCTTGAAAAAAAAATGCAAATTGGCCATCCTGTGGTCACCTGTATAACTTTATTAGCTGTGTGACTTTGGGCAAATCACTTCACTTCTATGACCCTCAGGCTCCTTTTCTGTAATTGGTGATAATACTGTCTAGGGATGTTATGAGGGGCATTAAATGGGTTTATGCCTTTAAAGGGCTTAGCCTGTTCTGTGGCTATCTAAGGGCTTATTTACTGGGCAGGTGTGGTGGCTCACGCCTGTAATCCTAGCACTCTGGGAGGCCAAGTCGAGCTTAGGCATTCAAGACCAGTCTCAGCAAAACAAGACCCCATCTCTACTGAAAATAGAAAAACTACCTGGTGTTGTGGCACATGCCCATAGTCCCAACTACTCCGGAGGGTGAAGCAGGAGGACCACTTGAACCCAGGAGTTTGAGGGTGCTGTGAACTAGGCTGACACCATGGCACTCTAGCCTGGGCAACAGAGTGAGACTCTGTCTCAAAAAAAAAAAAAGCACTTATTTACTAATTTATTTGTCACATATGTATTGAATATTTGCTGTGGGTCAGGCATTGTTCTTAGCACTAGGGAGACAGTAGTCAGCAAGACAGACAAAGCCAAAGCCCTCCTAGAGTTAAATGGTTTAGTGGAAGGAGACAGATAAATGATTAAATTGCATTAGTTGTTATTGCTGTTTTGTCTTTGCATTGTAAGTGGTTAAGAAGTTTTGACTGGGCTTGATGCCTATAGCTCAGCGGCTAGGGCGCCAGCCACATACACCAGGGCTGGTGGCTTCAAACCTGGCCTGGGCCTGCCAGACAACAATAACAAAAAATAGCCAGGTGTTGTGGCGGATGCCTGTAGTCCCAGCTACTTGGGAGGCTGAAGCAAGAGAATCACTTAAGCCCAAGAGTTTTGAGGTTGCTGTGAGCTGTGACGCCATGGCACCGAGGGTGACATAGTGAGACTCTGTCTCAAAAAAAAGTAGTTTTGGTTGATTTTGCTCCTGTCATTTACTGTGTAGCAGCAGTTTAAACTCAGAGTGACCTTAATACATGTCCAGCTCTTTAGAGATTACTGAATCCTTAAGGTTTGTTGATGGAATACCCTGAAAGCAGGGACGGTCCTTTGCACAGTGCCTGGCACAAGGATGCTTAGGAAATGATTGCTGGTTTTATTATTTTCCCCTTATTTTTGACACAGCAGTAACAAGACTTGGTTGGTTTTCAAGTGCAGCAGGTTGGAAACTGAGTTGGAAGGAGTAAGAGAACTAGAGATGGTTAGAAGGAGATAGCCGGAGATGTAAGGATGCTCACTTGGATATGAAAGGGAAGAAAGACAAGTTACAAAGGAGAGCAGCGTTTGGCCCCAGTGAACAGAGACTTGCCCTATTAAAGCAGTCACTCCTTTATTATAACATACAACGCAGAGCACTGAGCCGCAGAGGCGTGGTCATGGTAACACCTACCATTTCCTTCCCTTTTTTTTTTTTGAGACAGAGTCTCACTTTGTTGCCCTCAGTAGAGTGCCACAGCTCACAGCAACCTCCGACTCTTGGGCTTAAGCGATTCTCTTGCCTCAGCCTCCCAAGTAGCTGGGACTACCGGTGCCCGCTGCAACACCTGGCTATTTTTTTGTTGCAGTCATCTTTGTTGTTTAACTGGCCTGGGCCGGGTTCAAACCCACCAGCTTGGGTGTAGGTGGCCAATGCCCTACCCACTGAGCTATGGATGCTGCCAACACCTACTATTTCTTTAGCTCCTGCCATTTATTAGTCAATAAATTTAAGTGCTTTATACCTGAACCCTTTGGACCATACCTCTATGTTGTTAAGAAGTGATTAAATGATGTTCAGTCATGACTGGGTGCAGTGGCTCACTCCTGTAATCCTAGCACTCTGGGAGGCGAAGGCAGGTGGATCACTTGAGTTCAGGAGTTCGAAACCATCCGGGCAACAGCAGGATCCCATCTCTACTAAAAATAGAAAAACTAGCCAGGTGGTGTGGCAGTTGCCTGTAGTCCCAGCTACTTGGGAGGCTGAGACAAGAGTATCCCTTGAGCCCAAGAGTTTGAGGTTGCTGTGAGCTATGGATGCCATGGCACTCTACTCAGGGTGACTGAATGAGACTGTCCCTAAATAAATAAATAAATAAATGGATAAATAAAGAATGATGTTCAGTCTACAGTATGCAAATTGACTAGTACCTTTTATATTTCATTAAAAAGTACTAACAGTCAAAGAAAAATAGATTTTGGTTAATTGGAAAAAGAATGTATGTAGCAACTCCATTCTTTAGTGATGGAAGAGGGCAGAGTCACTGCCCCGCCCCTGTTCATGTGTGAGCTGTTCTGGGACCCAGCCGTGAAATCTGATTCTCTGCAGTCTCCTTCCTGCCCAGTTTCCTTATTCTCTCGGCCTGAACAAAGTAAAGAGTCTTTCTCTCCCTCTGGCCTTAAGTTTGATTGAGCATGTTTGTATTTAATGGACAATATAACATGTTTATTGCATTTAGGGAGCCAAAAAAATCCACTTGGGTGACGATTTAAAGAGTATTCTTTCCGAAGCTCCTGGAAAATGTGTGCCTTATGCTGTTATCGAAGGTATGTTTGTTTATTTGTTAATGGAAAGCAAGTGTCTTTCTCAAAAGATTGGTAAAGATCATCTTGGCTAACGTTAAGTGCCTTTTGTGGCGTTGGGGCCATGGTTCAAGACATACTTCGGGGTCAGAAAGACCTTATTGATCTTGGGGAGGATTACCAAATTTCAGAACCACGGTTGCTTCATTTCTAAAATAATACCTACTTGATGGGCTAGTTAATAAGACAACCTGTTAATAAAGATATGATCCATGTAAAGTGCCCCACCGAGTGCTCCTAAATGCAGCCTGTCATCATTTGGGGAAAATAAAAGTCATCATTTGGATGAATGAACATAACTCAGAAACACACTTTAAGTTACCATAAAGGAGAAGATGGAAACATTCTTCATTTTCTGATTTATGTCCGTGTAGGAGCTGTGCGGTCTGTTAAAGAAACACTTAACAGCCAGTTTGTGGAAAACTGCAAGGGGGTAATTCAGCGGCTGACGCTTCAGGAGCACAAGATAGTGTGGAACCGGACAACCCACCTTTGGTATGTGTCCTCTCTCCACTGGCCAAGACTCTCGCAGAGATCCATTCACAGGCTGGGGTCCTGGATGCTGCTGCCATGTTTTCAGCTTCTCCTGAGACAGGTTGTCTCTCAGTGCTGATAATATTCTTGTGTGAGGTCTGTGGCCCTCCTACATCAGAATTTCCTAGGCATCTCGTCGAAGTGCGGATTTCTGGGCTTCCTCCAGACCTGTAAAACCAGAATTTCCAGGACAGGGGGCTTGGAATCTGTTGGTTGTTACATATACTGAAGTTTCAGAACCACTGATTATGGATAAATGATTTCGGTATTTGTTAAAATAATTTCGTGCCATTACATGAGTATCATTTTTCCAGTGGGTTTGTTTTATAGTGGGAAAGGGAAATAAATGGTCTAGGCTGTCTATGATGGTTTTTAACACTCACCAATATTGCCCGAGGACCTAAAAAAATGGAGCCTCCTCATTCTGAGGTACTTGGATGATAGTGGTTTCTGCTGCCTTCTCCAGTTCCTTCGGAGCTTATCCTGTCCTCTGGGCATTTAGGTGATGTCCATCCCTGCTTGGGTGGTTGATGTTCGCTAGCGTTTGTTTTATCTTCAGTTGGCTTATTCTTTTAGGAATGATTGTTCAAAGATCATTCACCAGAGAACCAACACGGTGCCCTTCGATCTGGTGCCCCATGAGGATGGCGTGGCCGTGGCTGTGCGAGTGCTGAAGCCCCTGGATTCAGTGGATCTGGGCCTGGAGACGGTGTATGAGAAGTTCCATCCCTCCATCCAGTCCTTCACCGATGTCATTGGCCACTACATCAGCGGTGAGCGGCCCAAAGGCATCCAGGAGACTGAGGAGATGCTGAAGGTTGGGGCCACCCTCACAGGGGTCGGAGAGCTGGTGCTGGACAACAACTCTGTCCGCCTGCAGCCGCCCAAGCAAGGCATGCAGTACTACCTGAGCAGCCAGGACTTCGACAGCCTGCTGCAGAAGCAGGAGGCGAGTGTCAGGCTCTGGAAGGTCCTGGCGCTGGTTTTTGGCTTTACTGCCTGTGCTACCCTCTTCTTCATCCTCCGCAAGCAGTATCTGCAGCGGCAAGAGCGACTGCGCCTCAAGCAGATGCAGGAGGAGTTCCTCGAGCACGAGGCCCAGCTGCTGAGACAAGCCAAGCCCGAGGACAGGGAGAGTCTGAAGAGTGCCTGTGTCGTGTGTCTGAGCAGCTTCAAGTCCTGCGTCTTTCTGGAGTGTGGCCACGTCTGCTCCTGCAGCGAGTGCTACCATGCCTTGCCAGAGCCCAAGAGGTGCCCCATCTGCAGACAGGCCATCACCCGGGTGATTCCCCTGTACAATAGCTAATGGGTTCAAGGTCCGCACTTGGACATGGAAGCAACCTCCTCCCTTTTGGGGGATCTTTATCTCGAGGCCTTTGTAGGAGCAGTGCTGGGGTTAGCAGTTACCTCCAGGGAAGACTGAGCTGTGGAGAGGGTGGAAATTATTTAGACCCACAGGTCCCCCAGTAGGATGTGGCTTTTCCAACCTGAGAGGGGACCTCGTCTCCACAGAGCAGGAGAATCAAAGCCTACCCTGGGAGGGTGCCATGCCATGGCGTCTCTTCCCACGGAACAGATGAGTGCGTGTGTGGCTGAAAGCCTCATTGCTTAAGCACCAAAGTCAGTGGTCATCCGCTCTTGTTCCTGTGTTTTCTGGTCCTTTTCTGGTGAATCGTTGATGGCTGTGGACTTGGAGGGGAGGAAAGGCTGGGCCCTGAGCACACCGGATGTCTCCCAGAGCCGCCTCTGCAGGGACTCTGCCGCAGGGCTTCTTCCTTTGCTCACAGTCTGGGAAAAGGTCTTTCTTTAACGTTGTCAGGCTGGATAGGTCACTTGTGTCCCTTTGCCCTCACCCACTTGCCTTCCATATGTGTGCACGTGTGTGAAGACAGCAGAAGAAAGTGAAATCACATCTGCCTCTTTTCAAATGAATGGGACGCTGGGCAGCAAAACGAAGGGAGGTCGCCGGAGAGGCAGATGGCCAGTAAGCCCTCCTGGGTGCTGGTTTTCCCGGGGGGAGGATAAGCTGCCCAGGCCTCATCGCCCAGAGGAAGCAGTGTGGGTGCTGCTCTGCTAGGCTCCTGGCTCCACAACGTCCTCACAAGGCTTTCACCAAGGAAAAGTAGCTAGTACCCTGAGCACCCAGCCTTTCTGGGCTCCTCGCCTGCCCTGACCCCTGGCAGTGTCATTGTCCCGCCGTGTAACCACATTGCCCCTCCCTGCGTTACCATTCTCCTCTCACCTGTCCCTCGTGAGCCTGTGAGTACAGGACATGCCGGGGCATCTTTCCTTACCTCTAAGTGGGTAGAAGTTACATATATAGCTCTTTTTAGTTCTTGTCCCTGTCTTTGAATCTTCATCCCTGATCCTCCTTGGTGTGGGGGAGGACGGGTGCTCTCAGGGGCTTGACACCAGTGCTATGCAGTGTCCAGTGTCAACAGCACAAATTAAACACATTGCAACCAAGTGTTAGCCTGTTGTTTTGATGCCAAGTGAAATGGCTAAGCCAGGGCTTCCCCAGAGTGGGATTGAATCTCCTCTCCGATGCAGCGAAAACTGGGGGCTTTGAGGCTTCTGTGTCCTCTTCCTTGGCTCTGGGTGTTTTGGGGTGTCCCTGGATGGCATGGGCTTGGTGCTGCCGGGGCTAGGATGCTCGCCACCTGGGAGGAGTCTGGCGAGCCTAAGAGGGTGATCAGGACAGCCAGGCTGTGGGTCACACCCGGCCTTGCCAAGGCAGTAGTCTTTGAAGAAGTCTTCGAGTACCTGCTCGATGAGATTTTACCTGCTGGGAGAATGGGATAGGGGTGGGGTGTTAGGGAACAGCAAAGAGGAAACTAGCGTTCATGAGTACTACTGTGTACCAGGTAATACAAAGTGACTTCATCCTCACAAACCCCCTGCAGGCCGAGTCCTGGTTGTTTTCTCCATACAGGTGAGGAAGGAAGCTCTGGTTTCCTTCCCTGGCTGGGGCACCGAGGTAGTAAGTGATGCATCCAGCTTTAAACCCCACACTGCAAAGCTCCTAATCCCCTTCCTTACCGCGGTGGGGCCAACCACTTCCCTGAGTGCTGGCAGGAACACCCCACAAGGCATGTGCTCCCCACTCTGGTAGAAGAGACGGGTGGCCACACTGGGGGAAGAGGCAGGAGTTGTGGTGAGAGTCCACTGGCCAGTGAGCAGGGAGGGCCCTGGTTCTAGACGAGGTGCCTGGGTGGGCAGGCTGAAGCCCTGATGGGAACGGCCTCCCTGAGTGCCTGGACAGATGCTACTGCCTTTTGCTTATCTTTCCCAGAGGTGGTTTGTGAGGGCCCAGCTTTTAATGAAGGATGGTTGAACTGCCCAGGGGGCATTTGTGTGGTGATCTAACCAAGTTCAGCCCTGCACAGTTTTCATGAGTACATCTATCAAAGAGATTAAAAAGAAGGGCAGGCCACTGGCTTTGCCCAGCACAACTTAGCTCTAGGGCAGACTCAGATTCTCCCAACGCTTGTGTTCCTCTGAACTGAGCTGAGTTCCCTGCTATGGGAGACTCAGGTGGCATGCAGTCCTCTGGAGGCTGGCATGTTCCCAGATTCTGGGTTCGTGGTCCCTGCTCCATCCTAGCCTGCGGAGACTGAGACTGTCTCATGCTCTACTCTGCCATCCCCCTGTGACACTTCCTACCTTCTATTTTAGGAGCCTCAGATCTCCAGGGGGGTGAATGGGACTTGGGCGGGTGGGACCAAGGCTGGCATTGTGGTGTGGGGGGTTGAGAGGAGGGAGGAAGTTAGATCTTAGCCAGCCATGTTGATTGTTGTGAATTATGAGTCTCCCCTAAACCAACGCTATGCTCAAGCACTTCAGTCCCAGGCAGTGTTAGGCAGGAATCATCTTGAGTAAGTGCTGGTGTTTTGAATGTCCATGCCAGGTTCTTTATTTACATTAATGGTACACTGTCGGTATTGCTAATCCCCTTCAATAAATGACAGCAGAGAGGCTTGGGGTTACACTGTGCCTGTGATGCACGTTGTCACCAGCCAGGCAATGTTAGGCTCTTCACAGATATTGTTCCCAATGCTTAGAGCAAACCAACAAGGGAGGCCGTATTATCTTTTACAAGTGTGACTAGTTCAGGGTCTGACCGGAAAGCCCCAAAACCTTTGCTTTGACCACAGTAAGCCTGGTATACTAAATAGAAAACTTGGCCATGAGATAACAGTATTATCATAAACACATTTTACAACCTAAGTAGCACCTCCAGAAGCACAATCGCTCCCCCAGCTGGTCCTAGTGGGCTGGAAGGCGGTCTTCCGAATCCTAATTCATCCAGATTTCTAATGGAAAATTTAAAAAGTAACAACCCATGGGGAAAATTAAAAAGCGAACAATCGCAACATGACCGACTAGGCCGATCTCTGATGCCTTTTGCAACCTCGATCCTGGGCCATGAAAGCTCCGGTTGGGCCATGGATTTGATGCTGTTGGTCTTATGTGGCCTCTGGAATGTTTAAGGAAGAGCCTGCCCCGTTTAGTATTGCAGGTGGGTATTTATTCACCTAATAAACATTTCCTGAATGTGTTTTGTGCCTGGAAATACAAGATGATAAGACACAGTCCCTACCTTCAAAGGGCTCACAGTTGTATTTCACGGTGTCCTTGTTTGAAGGAGTAATCCCCATTTGACAGGTGTGGCAGCTCACTTGTTGGGAATATTTATGGTTCACAGAATACTGTAGTTGAAATGGGCCTTTCTGACTGGCCTGGTTAGAGCAGGTTCTCCGACCAGTAGAAACAATCCATCCAAGGACAGGCAAAACATACCCCACAAAGTCTAGAATGATCTATTTAACCCTCCAAGCAGCCATGTCCATCTCCAGTCTTGCCACCTGTGGAATCAGGTCCCGGCTGTTCACCCTTGATTCATCCCCTAGCCACCTCCCCATGCTTGTTACACTGTGACTCCAGTGGCATTGAGTTTCCTTAAATACGCCCGGCTGTTTCCTGTGCTGGCTCATGTGGGCTCCGGCCTCTGGAATTCTCTGGGTCCCTTCTTCACCTTGCTCCTGTATACTCACCCTTTAAAACTCAGCTTTAGCTGTGTCCTCCAGAAAATCTTCCCTGACCCTCCCCACCCAGCCTGGATTAGGTGTCCCTCCTCTGAGATGCCACAAACATTCTCATTCCTCTATTCCTGCTCTTAGCCACACTGTCCATAGCTGCAGCACACTTTAGGAAATTTGGGTTGTTAACACACTAAGAGCTCACTTGTGAGGTTTGTGTTAGGTTGCATTTTACTTGAAGTAAAAGGAGACCAAGGCCCAGAAAAGTCGAGTGTCTTGCCCAAATACTCAAAGAGGGATAGGATTTAAACCTAGGCAGCCTGACGTCACAGCCCAAGCTCTTGCCCACAGAACGTATGTGGAATGAATGAGTAAACTGGTGAATGAAATCGTAGCTGTGAAACAATCCTGGAACACTGCCTGGAGGAGTTGGGTTTTGGATGATAGTTGTGAGAGCTTCCTCTTGGTTTTAAGTAGTGAGGGGAGGGCCTTTTTTAGGACCTGGGGTCAAGAAAGATGAATTGGATAAGAGGGACACCATATCTAGTGACCTGCCCAAGCTTTGAAGACTCCACCCAGCAAAGAAGGGACAATGTCATTGGCTGGCTTTCTCTTGTCCTGACTGCACTGCTGGATAATCTTGACCAAATGATTTAACCTCTCGGGGCTATGAGGGGAGCGAGTTGGGTTAACAGCCCTCCTGTACTCAGCCCTATTCGGCATGTGTGGGTGAGGAGGGGGCAATTTGGAGGGTGGCTCTCCGGGCTAGCTCAGTGCCACAGCCTCAGGACTACGCTCTCAGAAAGCTGGGAGCTCAGCACATTTTCTCTCTAATTAGATAGCGTTAACTTATCAATTTTGAATGAGATAAGTTTCCATGGATGATGTCCCGAATTGCTCCTCGAAGTGCTCATTAGTCACTTCCCCTGCAGCTGCCTTATTGTTTTCCAGATGCCAGCAAGGGACTTGGCATTTCTCTTCCCCGAGACTGGGGCACGTGAGGCTGAGCCAGTGGCACTGGCGTTGGGTAGAAGAGCTGATGAGCAGGCCTGGGCGAGGCACCGAATCGCCTACCCTTTGCCCTCAGTCCCTGCTGGAGCCATCACCTCTCCTTAGAGGCCTCAAGTCCGGATTCTGTTGGGCCATGACTCAGGAGGGTCTGGTTCTCATATCTCTATTCCGTGGCTGAACTCAGCAAGCATTTATTAAGCTCTTAGTGTGCCAGGCTCTTTGCACCTGTAACCTGAATGCTCCCTAGGCCTGGGGTAGGGGGCACACATGAGGTCATAGTATGTTAATGTCCAGATTACCATAACTGCAGGTCTCCACTTCCTCAGTATCTTCCCTAGTTATTTAAGGTGCTTCATGAATTCCCTAGGTATGGGGCGCTGCTCTGTGCGCGCTTCCAATAAATAAATCACTCACGTCTTCATGTCTTTCTCAGACCTTTTTCCAGCCCCCAGGATTCATGAGATCCCTCCTAATGCTGCAGTCTCCACTGAGACCGCCAGGTGGCGCTGCGGCCCTATGATTGGGGCGGGCTGGAGCACTTGGAGAAACTGAGGTTATACTTCCTAAGGCCTGTGAATTTCCTCTCTTCTGAGGGTGGGGATAGGCCTTGAAGTCTGAGAAGACCGGCTGAGAACAGCCCGGAAAAGGCAAAGCGGGAATTCTCTCTCCAGTTTCCTCCTTTCTCTACCCAACTCACCAGGGAGCTGGCTGCAGATGTGAAAGTTATGAGAAACCCAGAAAATTCAGGGGAAAAAAAAAATCCCACATTTCTCCCTCTATAATTTCCCCGACATTCACATCTTTAAATATACTAACCATAATTTTCTTTAAACAAAAAACGAGATATGCATAATGCATTGCGTGTTTTTAAAATACGCAAATGACTTCACACTGGGAAAGGATGCTTGAAACAAATTGTGTGGCATAGATTTTGATTTTTCTCCCCAGAAATTTTTCTCAGTGAGGAAATTCTGGTCCTCCAGCCTGGCCTGCCGTCTTGTCCTCCACCTCTGCCCCTCTCTGCCTCCCCAGCACTCCCCTTCTCAGCTTCCTTTTGTGTCCTGCCCCGCTACCTTACTTGGCAGTTCAGCCTCTTGTCTTCCCTGCTTGTTTCTTTGAGCCTGTGGAATAGTTTCTTCCTCTGTGTGTGGCCCTGTCTTCCTCCTTGAGTGTTGCGGCCTTTCAGATTCTGTTTCTCTCTGGGCTGTGCACCTCCCAGATCAGCTTTCCCTCTGCTGACACCCCTGCCCAGCCCAGGGCCTGCCTGGCAGGGTAGATGGAGAGGACCTGTGTGACCATGCCATGGTGCTTCCTCATGGTTCTACTTTCCCAAGGAAGAAGGGAATCCTCTGTCCACCCATGCAGGCCACATGGGGGACTTGGGGCTCACTGCAGGGAGTGGCCTCCTGCTCACAT